AGCAGGGACTAAGAGACACCTTTGTTTCACCCCATTGTTGATGTCAAAGGCATTTGTTTCTTTGTTTTCATACACTACAGTTACCTTCATACCTTGATGTAATGAGCAAATGATATTCAACAGTTTTGCAGAGACAATCCAGTTTCTTCAGAACAGTAAACAGACCCTGTCTGTTGATTATATCTAAGGCCTTTATCAGATCAATGAAGGGTATGTACAGTGGTATTAGTTTTTCTCTACACTTCTCTTGCAGTTGCTTGACCAAAATATGATACCAATGGTAGAGCTTCCTGAGTAAAACCCACACTGACTTTCAGGATAGATTTCTTCATCTTGAGACTGCAACCTAGGGAGCATGATACGAGTAACATTTTTTCTGATGGTGTTCAATAAGGAGATGCCTTTATAGTTGCCAAAGTCACTTCTGTCCCCTTTGTTTTTCTATAATTGTACAAACCAAACATTTTTGAAATCTTGCAGTGCCACTTCCTCTTTCCAACAGTGCAGTATAACTTCATGAAGATTTCAAAGTAATTCATTGTTGGCATATTTGTAGATTTCAGCAGGCGAGCAGTTGTTGCCAGATGCCTTGTTCCCAGGAATTGATTTAATGGCTTTCTTCATCTTCAGATGCTCCTTGCTAAAATCCATCATAACTTTGAACTGTGGTAATCCTTCAAGCTTTTCATGTTTGATTTCAGTCTCACTAGAGTATAGAATTCCATAGTAGTCAATCCAATGTTGGAGTTGTTTTTATTTATCACTAATGCCATTTTTGTTTAAGTTTTTCAATGGAGCTGTTTTCCTTTTCACTGGTCCAATTGCTCATTTGAAGCCTTTGTACATCCTGCAGCTATCACCTGCATCAGCTGCTTTTTTATGAATTTAGTTTGGCTGATGTCTGTCTGAGAATGACGGGTAGTTTTTTGACATTGCTTTTGACTTTGCCAAAGACTAAGGCGTGGTCAGTGCCACAGCACTGTGATAAGACCTCATATGCAGGATTTCTTTCATGTGGTTATGCCTGGTCAGTACTAGATCTAATTGGTGCCAGTGCTCTGATCTTGGATATTTCCACAATGTCTGTGTTATGGTTTTCCCAGTAGGTGTTGGTAATGCATAGATTTTGAGTGCACAAAGTTCTAACACTTGCTGGCCATTTTAATTCATATTACTGATTCCATGTTTGCCCAGAATACCAGGTCAATTCTCAAAACTACATCTAACTCTTGCATTGAAGTCACCAAGTATTATAATGGTCTAATTTCTGTGAGTTTTCTCAATCTCTTCTTCAAGTTGTTGGTAGAAAGGATGCTTGTTTTTGTCACCTAGCTTGAAGGGTAGATGCATAGACACTAAAAAATGTGATGAAGCTGCTCTGTGTATGCACACTGAATATCATGAGTCAACTAGATACAGCAATGGAGCTTTCAAAGAAAGATAGTAAGCTGTTTCTAATAGCAAAACCTACTCCCTGCTCTTTCCTTTCTCTTGCTGGCTTCCCATGCCAGAATATGGTCTAATCATTCTCTTGGATAGAAGCTATACCTAAGAGCAGAGTTTCTGATAGCACAGCACTACCAATTCCAAGTCTAACCAATTCATAGTTTAGTACTGCCATTTTCTATAAATCAGAGTCTGAATCAAACCCTGGTGTCGGAGTCTGAACATTTGAGCATGTGAGTGACTTTATCATTTTGGCCAGCATAGATCACGCTGAGACCTTCAGCGCATACACCTAGGCAAGAGTTTGGAGGAGTGGAGGCTTCCCTAGACCTACAATCCCTCCCTTTTAGACCACTGAGACAGAGTCCAAAGTCCAGACCAAGTCCAGACATTCAGTACCTTGATGGTTATAGCTTCTGCCAGAGAGCAACAGATTAAAGCTGCTATTGGCCGCCTACCACTTCAGCTAGGCACATTTCTGTCAAAGTGATGTTCCTTAGCCTTTCTCCAACCAAGGAG